GAAAAATTGGAATCATTTCATACCCATCTGCTTGACCACTGTCTTTAGCTAAACCATAAGTAAAATCATTGTGAACGGGCTACAACCTCACTTGGACTCTATCATTAAACCCAATCAAACTGCCTTTGTGAAAGGATGGTCCATCATTGAGAATACTCTTCTGGCCCAAGAACTTCTACAGGATTTTAATAAAGCTTGTAGAGGGGGTAACATGGTTTATAATTTGGACTTAAGGAAAGTTTATGATACCATAAGCTGGGATTTCATTTTGGAGGTTCTAAGTGTTAGAGGATTCAACACTGGTTTCTGTCACCTAATCAGGAGGTGGCTACACAACAATGAACATTCCATCCTGATAAATGGGCAAGGGAGGGGATCTTTCACTGCTACAAGAGGTCTAAATCAAGGGGATCCACTATCACCTACCATCTTTATACTTGCAATTGATTATTTGTCTAGATTTCTTGATGAAGCCTTGTTGAATCATAATCAAAACATATACCATCATAGATCCAACATTGCTATTACTCATTTACTTTATGCTGATGACATAATGGTATTCTCCAGAGCCAGCAAAAATGCTATCCGAAAAGTCATCAAAATTTTACAAAAGTTCCAAGCTATTTCAGAAATGGAATTCAATCCAGCAAAGTGTCAGATGGTTTTCTATAAACATGCATCCTCCACTCACAAACTTTGGGCATCTAATTATACTGGTTTCACAACTACTCAACTCCCTATTAAGTACCTTGGGGTGCCTTTTATCACTGGCAGAACCAAACAAACTTAGTTTGATGAGGTGCTGAATAAAGTCTCTAACCTTCTTAATGGGTGGACACAGACCTTCTTGTCTAATGGGGGAAGAATTACCTTGTTAAAGATCATAATCACTACCTTCCCAGCTTATATACTGCAGATGACTACTATAAAGAAAAGCACTCAAATACAGTTGGAGAGACTGTTTAATAAATTCCTGTGGTCTGGTCAAAGACAGCAAATGCATTGGGCTTCCTGGAGGAAAGCAGCTAAACCTCAAATTGCTGGGGGAATTGGCTTTAAGGACCTTGATCAACTCCTTCAAGTCAATTTCTATAAACTCTGGATTAAGTTTAGGACCCAAAATTCACTGTGGGCTAAATTCATGTGGGGTAAGTATTGCAAAGATCATCACCCCACACTGGTCCTAAGGAAAATTGGTGATTCTAGAATTTGGGTGAAAATGCTGAAAATCAGACAATTTGCTAAAACCAACTACAGTTGGGAGCTGGATAATGGGGAAATCAAGTTTTTGGCTTGACAATTTGTGTCCCAAATACTGGCTCTCCCCCATTACTAATATCAACAATAGTGATTTGAAAGTGGTTGATTGTTGGGATGGTGATAACTGGTCCCTGGGTAAGTTAGCAAATCTTCTGCAACCTCACTCTCTCACCAAAGTGGCCAGTATAAAATTTAACAGAAATATTGTTGATAAAATCTTATGGAAAACTACTTCCCACCAAAGCCTCACCAAAGCCATATATTCCAAAAATTTTAGTTAGGAGCAAACACCCTGGGGTGATCATTTATGGAATAAATTCCTATCCCCTTTTATGTTCTTTTGCTGTTGGAGAATATTCCATAAAATGATCCCTACTAATGACATTCTAAAGCTGAAGGGATTGAGGGGTCCCTCTAAATGCTAGTTATGTAAGAAGGAAGAGGAAACTCTGAATCATTTATTCTTTGAATGTGACTTTGCTCAACAGGTATGGAAACATTTCCTAAATCAGTTGACAATTGATCAGAAAGAGCTCACTTGGGATAGGCTGGTCAATTGCTGGTGGCACTGGAAGATAAGGAAGTATGCTGCTATCCCTTTCACCATTGCTTGGTTCATCTGGATGGAAAGAAACAAGGTTAAATTTGAATAAGCAAATCCAAATGTGGGGAGTACTGCTAGAAATTGTGTTACTTACTTGCATAAGATGATTAATTGGAAAGGATTTCCTAACATTTCTAACTCCTGTACATCCATTAAGTCTGATCTTATTCAAGTCATTATAGTCTACTAGAAAACCCCAAATCATCCTATTGTGAAGATTAACATTGATGGAAGCTTTACTAAAGATGGAGCTGGTGTGGGAGGTATCTACAGAAACCATTTAGGTAAGTGCTTGTTGTACTTTTATACCCCAGTCCTGGCCAATGATGCCACTGAAAGTGACCTCATTGTTGTGTATTGGACAATCAACCTTGCCACTAAGGCTAATTGGAATAAAATTTGGTTGGAAGTTGATTCTGCTGTGATTATTCCCCTTTTAAATCAGGAGGAGGAGACTCCCTGGCACTACTCTTATTGGATAAGCAAAATCAGAGATCTCACTAGCAAGATACAAATCCAGTTCACTTTCATCTATAGGGAAGGTAACCAGCCTGCAAACTGGTTGGCCCAACTTGGATCACACTCTAATGAGACTGAAGTTGCTGTCAACTGTCCTTTATCTGCTGCAAGGAGATATACTAAATGTCCCTCACATTAGAATGGTCTACAAAGATAAATGATTAATGTGGGGGCAGATGCATTCTCACACTTATTTCCTTCTGTTGAGTCATTGTAGTTGTTCTTTTTTGAGGGTGACACTAGCTTTTTTGGGGGATTTCCTGGGTTCCTGTTTTGAACCATTTGTGAAGTCCCCAGCCCTCTCTAATGTCTGTACTAGTCCTCTTTACTTCAACATGTAGGGAGTCATAAGCAACTCCTTTCACCAATATATATATATATATATAAGTCGGGCATCGGGATATCCATTTCGGTGACCAAAAACTTCCAATTTGGTGACCGACAACTTCTAGCAACTCCGCTGGGGATAATTTCTCTCTCCATTTGAATCAGGGAATCTTGGCTTCATACACCGTTAATGTGTCCATGTCCCTTATAGACAAGATCACCCCTCTTTCGTTGGCATGTTTCACCCATTGCTCTCTTGGGTAAGTACAGTCAACTCTTTTGGATTTTAGGACCATCTGTTCAATCACATTTGAACAGAGAGGTTCAGGAGTTCATTAGGACTTTTATTTTTGTGTGGGATCGAACCCCCGATAGGTGTGTTGGTGGACTAGTTCCACCAGGGCGTTGTGCATTGTGAAGTCAATCTCGCACTGGGTCCTAAACTTTACTTTTTCTCTTCATGTCTTTTCAGGTTTAGTTTACAACTTTACAATTTAAATCAAATTGTTGCATGCTTTGTCTTCTTTTCAACTTTTCCCATTTAGTTAATCAAGTCCCACCTACTTTTAATTTACTTTACTAAATTTTAAAGTCTTCACAAACTAAAATTAAATAAAGACTTGCCCATTCTACAGAACGACCCTTGTTAATTTTTATTGTTTGAACTAGAATTACAAGGTATTAGCTAAATAACTAACCCCAAAACTTTCTTTTTGAAGTTGTTGTAATGGCGTTCCCAATGCTTACTTTCTCTTGCAACCTACGGACCAACCGCAATGCCCGCAATGTCGCCCCCACCATCAAGTTTGTAGCTGGATTCGATGAACTAAAAGTTGTACTTAGAAAGGCCTCATTTGTGGTCATGAAAGTTGCTGCTCTGGAAGTATAGGAGTGTTATGTTGAGTTTAGCCTGAACTATCCTCAAGATTTCTCTTCCTACAAGAAGATGAAGACTATATCTACCCCGACACTTGTTAAGTCTGTTGTTCTTTTTTCTGCTATAGGAAAGAAAATTAGGATTGTTGAAGATACAGTTGAAGGATTTACTGCCTTGCCATTAGCATTTAAAATTTGATCTAACTCAAAGTCTTGGTCATTAACCCGATCTCAGAGAAGAAATTGTAGTTGAAGGATTTAGAAAGCTATTAATGCCCGAGTTTCAAAGAAAGTATCTGTTGATGAGATTCCTCACCAAGAGGAACTTATATTGCTTTAGACCTCTCCGCTTTTGTGAGGAAGTAGGTTTCACCCATTAATGAACACTAATGGGTATGAAAGTATTCAAAAAATTAATACTACCTTACCGTTATTTCATGGTCATGATGAGGAGAAGGAGAAACCCACTCCTATCACCAAAGTCCGTACAATATTTCATAGGTTGGTTGTTAAAGAAAGAAGTTCATTTGTTGAACTACTTAAGCGAGTGGGATGTGCGGTGTCCCCTCAAATAAAGAAAGAAATTTTAAGGGATGTCAGATCTGCTCAATGGTCTCAAAGATCAGCTGATGTTTTGTCAGCTCGCATTCCCGTCAGATTCCGTTTGGGGAGATGAGTTGATCTAACCATCACTACCACTAATTTTGTTACCACTGCAGCTCCAACATCTGTAAGGCATCAACCAACCAAGTTATGTCTGGGTCCAAGGATACTACCAGTTGTTGGTTGTAAGAGTGCCCTAAAGAACGAGAAGGTAAAGAAGTCACCCAGTACTATAATTGATATGCACCGTGAGGAGCATGCCTCTCTCCGACACACCGATGCCTTTGTTGAGACACCCCCTCTCAAGACATCACTGTCAAGGAAGAAGGTATGGGTACCCAAGGTTGTCGTACCAGTACAGTTTGATGAGCCCATAAGGCGAGATTGGGGAATGAAGCAAAGGTTCGAAGTATTAGGTGTTGTTGTAGCCCTGCTACCAAGTTTAATGTACAAAGGGAGGATGCTCAATAGAGCCCACTAGATCTTGAAAAACTCAGGACTGAGATTTTTGAGTTATCCAAAGAGCATGGGGTATATATGGATGATGACAATTTTGATGAAGACTTAATGGATATTCATGTCATTGAGACTTAAGCCACTACATCTGCGCGTGATGCCCAACTTCTTATTGAAGGGAACACAGTAGATGATTTGTGCAAAATTGTTCTCCTAAGAGATGAATAGATCAACCAAATAGAAAAAATAATGGAAGAGATGACCCCCACTATGGTCGTCGTGGATACAATTCATGGATAGTCACAGTCGCAACAGTTATCTTCTCCGGAAGTCAACCAGCCAGAGAAAGTTCGCATTACCAACGAAAGGAGAGAAGTTGCCTCCACCAATATAGATGATCAACAAAAGAAAGATTCCCCACCAAGTTTAATACTAGAAAAAAGATATAAAGTAGTTGGTTGAACAACAAGTTTGGAAGGTATTAGCCCAATCTATGAATGGTGCCTTGATTTCAAAGGGTAGACCATACCTGGAGGAGTTCGATGTCGTGCCCTACCTAAGGGTTTTGTGCCACCAAAATTTAAGCTTCTCCAGAAGTCAACACACCTTTATAAGTTCTCTACTTAACGAGGAAGAATCCACATAATTGATAAAATTACTGTCAAAATTTAAAGATTGCTTCGCCTGGAGCTATGATGAAATGCTAGGACTATCGACAGAGGTTGTAGTTCATAAACTCGGGGTGGAAAAAATATGACCCCAGTAAAATAAGCTCCCAAAAGGATGCGCCTCGAGATAGAGTAACAAGTCATTACCGAGGTAAAAAAGTTAATAGATGTTAACTTTGTGCAAAAAGAGCACATGGTTAGCCAACATTATGCCAGTTAAGAAAAAGAATGAACAAATGTGTATTGGTGTTAACTTCAGAGATTTAAATAAGACATGTCCAAAAGATGAGTTTATGTTACCAATACCAGAATTAATGGTGGACATCACATTGACACGTGAGATTTTCTCTTTCATGGATGGATCATTAGGCTACAACCAAATCAAAATGGCTCTAGAGGATGCAACACTTACAACATTCAAAACACCAATCAGAATTTTCTACTACACTATAATGTCATTTGTGTTGAAGAATGTCGGAGCAACATATCAACGAGCTATGACGAAGATCTTTGATGACCTCATTCTCAACAAAGTGGAATGCTACATGGATGATTTTTTCATCAAAAGTAAACAGAGAATAGATCGTTTGTATGATTTGAGGATCATGTTTGAATGATTACGATGATATAATCTCAAGATGAATCCATTATAGTGTGCTTTTAGCGTCACCACCGAGAAGTTTTTAGGATTCAATTTCCGTCATTAGGGGATTGAGATCGATCTAGACAAGATTAAAGCTATCTTAGAAATGCCTCCTCCAAAAATCTTAAAATAGCTACATTCCTTTCAAAGTAAATTGGCATACTTGAGATGCTTTATTTCTAATCCTCGGGTAGGTGTCAGCCTTTCTCAACATTATTTAAAAAGAACGTCAAATTTGTTTTGGAAGAGAAATATCAGTGGGCCTTCAAGGACATTAAGTAATATTTGATGGCACCTCTTGTTTTAGAAGTCCCTATCTTGGGAGGACCTTTCATACTTTATATTGTGGCCTTAGACGACTCTCTGGGAGCCCTGTTAGCTCAGGTCAATAACGAGAGTAATGAAAATGCACTCTACTACATGAGTCGCTGTCCAATACCAACTGAGGTAACGTATCCATCTATTGAGAAACATTGTGTAGCTTTAATTTTTGCCACCCAAAAGCTTAGACATTACAGGTTTTCTCATAAGCTTACCCTTATTTTGAAAGTTAATCTATTGTAATATTTGATGACCCAACCAACACTCCCAGACATTTAGCAAGATGGTAAATGATTTTATTACAATTCGATATAACTTTTGTTCCCCTCTACAATATCAAGGGACAAATTTTAACAAATTTTCTCATCGCGCACCCACTTCCAGCTGGGTCCCCTCTCAATGATGAGCTACCAAATGAGCAGTACTACAAATAGTATCGTTTAGTGCATATGTACTTTGATGGAGCTTCATCTGCAGGAAAGGACAAGGGATTAAAGATAGTTATACCAGGAAAAGCAGGAATTGGACTGATTTTCATCACATCAGATTCAAGTATGTTGAAATTCTCCTATCACCTGACAACTTCATGTACAAATAACGAAGCAGAATATGAAGCACTGATCACCGGGTTAGTGTTGACAATCTCAATGAATATAACAAACATTGTCATCTATGGCGACTCACAACTTGTCATCCAATAAGTTACTGGATAATATAATATTTTGAAACCAAGGCTAGCAAAATACTGATACGCCTAAAATATATAGTATTTTTAGACACATTTTTATACCTATTTTTGAGATATTGCGCTTTAATGGAGGGTATTTTTGTGTTTTTCTTTCAAGTACAGGTAAAAATGTGAAAAATGCTTAAAGGAGTGAAAAAGGATCAAATTTGGAGCAAATAGTTGAAAAATGTGCAAAAGTGTTTTGGCGTTTTGGCGCCTAAGCGCCAGATCCGGCGCTTAAGCGCGGGTTAAACAGAGAAGGTTCTGCTTAAGCACCAGAGGCCCCACGCTTAAGCACCAGTGACAGTTATTGGATGAGTAAATTCAATTTTTGTAAATTTTTAAGAGGTTTTTGAGGCACTTATTGGCTTAATAGGTGGTTACAACCACCATGGATGAAAATTAATGCGAAAGGATGCATCTCTTAGGGAAATACATTGAATCAAGACACATTTTGAATAAATACCAAGGCACCTTTTGGAGAATTATAAAAGAAGGAAGATTGAGTCTTTGAAGGGGGTCCTGAAAGTACTGGAAAAGTTTTGAAAGTTCTAAACTTGGGGAGTTAGTTGGAGAGATTTTCAGGCACCACATATTTATCCTTTTTATTTTAGTTTTATATTGAGAGTGTTGTAAAGAAGAAAAGATTCAAAGGAACTTCAAGGGTTTGGTGGAGGACTTGAGATAACTTTTTAGCTTTATCTTTTGTTATTAAACTGCTTTTAGTTTTAATTGAGATTTCTTGTTGGTTTGACAATGATTTCTACTTTTAAACTAAAGTGTGGTTTTATTTTCTCCTTGGATTCTGAGTAGTTTTCTTTATCTTTCTCCTTAAAATGATAAGTAATTAAAAGTATTGGATGTAAGTTGTGGAGAGTATTGATCTTTAATGTTGGAAGAAGTTGTGATGATTTAATTCCATGTATTTCATTTATTTCTTGATTTGGCCTATCCAGATGTTAAAATTTATTGTGAGAACATGTAAGCACCAGGATGGTATTTTCTTAGTCAACATTTGGAAAGAATCACATGAGGTTGTATGAATGAGAATGTAGTTCATATGATTGAGTACAAATAAATAGGAAAATATTCATTGAAGGGTGTAGAGTTAGAGGTCTTTAAAGTGGCAGGTTAAAGCTCCCAACTTGGTTTATTGTTTTAGGTTCTGATACTAGATGTTAACCTCCATGTGGAGGGAAATCTAGGGAACTCTAGAGTGAGAGCTAGTACCTTCTCTGCCTATCCGATCTTCAGAACTATTCAAACTTTAAATTAATCAATGTTCTTTATAGCATTTCTAGTAAGGGTAAAGAATATTATTTCTCTTATTTGGCACAACACAATATGCATACTTCCACAACAGAGTTCCTATACTTATTACTGATTTATTATAAGGTGAAAGATATTTTCATATTTAGTGCTTTTCTTCTACAAAAACTTAAGTTATTTTTTTAATTTTGTTCTATTTTTGTCAAAATATTAAAATTACCAAAAATATTTAAAATTTCTTTACTGCAAAAACGTCTTTAGTTTTAATAATTAACTTTTCAAAAATAGAAAGCTTTCCAAAAAGTGCATATTGAATATCT